GGCACCACAGCAGGACCTTTAGACCTTTGCTCTTCCAGCTAGAACATGTCAAAATGTCTGATGTAAAAAAAAAAAAAAAAGCTAAATGTTCCTGATAATATAATATTGTGACCAAATGGATGAATTTCACTTTATGGTACAAAGAAGCGTCATAGTTCAGGACCATTTATTATTTGTGGCAATTAATGCAACAGATGGTTGAACATCTACAATTATTTCTTGTGGCTCCCCCCATATTCTATATTATGGAGAGAAGACAGATTCAAGATTTCTCTGTCATTTCTCTAAACACCTGCGTACACAAAAAAATATCTTTCCCTCCAGTTCCACTACAAAAAAAGTAGGTTAAAAAAGTAAACAAATAACATAAAAACATGCAAGCACAATGGTGGAGCAGGAGCCTGAGCACAATATGTTAAAGTGCAAGAAAAAAAGCACATCCAAAACTGATAAGAGGTTAGAGCCCAACTGTCCATTATGCAGAATTAAAAATGCTTGCTTCGCCCAATTGAAAACTTTAGAGATGTAAATCTGGATAGAGCATGCTTGGATTGCTGTTTGGTTTTTTCGGTGTGCTGTTTGGTGTTAGTGTAAAAAGGTTTTATCTGAACTTCTTCTCTGGAAACAAGGCTGATGAGTGAACAGACAGACTGGATATAGTTTCCTGAAGCTCAGTGTGGTAACTCCAGCCATCAGCATCTTGGTAGGACCTGATTTAATTTCTGGTTAATCCCAAAATGAGCAAAAAAGTTGAGCGTGAGTGAAGCTGAAGCAGACCACAGACTGTCCTATAGCTGGACCCATCTTTCACTTAAAGCAGCCACTCTCTTAATTGTGTAATATTTAAAGCCTTAATATGATTTAAATGGATGACTGATGTAACACTTCACCCTCCATACAGTCAGTGAGCAATAGAGACCAAAGCTGATTCTTTCACCAGGCTGTGAACACGTTGAACACTTTAACATGAGGGTCTCAAACTCCACTTACCTGGGGGCCGCTGGTGAGGCTGGGCCACATCAAGTATTCCCCAAAAAAAGCACAACTGATCTAACCTTTCAATCTTTACTAATAACAATTCAGAACATGAAAGGTTCTCCAGAACATTGGCTTCTCTGACCTGCCAGAGACCTGGCAGCGCTTCCTCTGACACAGCTGAGCCACGTTTAGCTTGAGGGAGGAAACAACTGAGACCTTCACTATGGCTTGAAGATGCTCATCAGTCAGTGTGGACCTGTACTTTGACTTATTAAAGTTCATGGTGGAGAAGAGCTTTTCACACAGATAGAAAAAAACCCCAAAAACATGCATTTGCACTGGGTGACAGGATGTATTTCCCTCCACTTGGTGATGCTCCTGAATCACGCTTCAAGTGATTAACGTTGCTAATTCGTGTTGCTGTCACGAGCCTGAGCGATGTTAGCCCATAAGTGATAAAAAGTATAAAACGCCCAGGGTAACGAGTCACGCAGGTCAAGTACAGGGCCACGAAATATCGTCCAGCGGGCCTCAACTGGCCCACCAGCTGCGAGTTTGAGACCTCTGCTTTAACACGAGGGTCTGTGGGTACCGACTCGTTTTTGAAGTCGGCCTCAAGTGGCTAGTTTAGGAACTGCAGACGTTTGCACTTCCACACTCCTCACTTTCCATGAGTTTGGGCTGATCCAAAACAATCACATGAAAGATTCTGTGTAGCTGAAGGAAGCAGCAGAGTCAGAAGATAATTCTTTCTCCTGCCACATTACACGTTGTCATTTGATCCTTTTGTTAGTATGATAATATTCTTCAGCGCGGCTTTAGGATGATGCCGCCGTCTGATCCTTTAACGCTGCAGCATTACAGGTGATGAAGCAAAAAGAAATTCTTTACTCACATCCTTTAAAACTTACTGTTTCTTGTCTCATCTCAGTGGATTTTCTCTAAACCTGTCTTAATGAGATCATGAACAACATGTGGCAGCAGGATCCTGATGAAGACAAACGCCGGATCACCAGGTTGTCATCGTGCCCTGAGCTGCATTATGTGCGGCTTTCAAATCACGATGTGAAAGTTTGTGCTCCGCCCGTGCGATTTCTCCACCTTATTATTATGCTAATTCCCTGATTGCTAATGAAAATGGGGAACAGCTGCGGAACCGTGTGGGTGATCAGGTAATGACTGAGGCGGGAAGTCTCCCAAGTAGCCGGACAGGTGGGGAACAGCAGAGTTTGAAATTAGAGGGGTGGTTAATATGCATGGAAACGGCAGCGAGTGCCAAAGCTGAGAACAAGAGAAAGAAAAAATAAAACAAAGCTTTCTTAGAAAAGCAGTGATTCTGCCAAGATGCAGAGGTGGAAGAAATAGTGCTTAAGTACCAAGATAGCAATGTAAAAACACTCTATCACCGGTAAAAATCCTGCATTAAAACCCTGTTTAAGTAAAAGAATAAAGTCCAAATTATGTAGTTTAGATATGAAAGTAAAAGTCCCCGTTAGTGTTGTAGCTGCTGCAGGTGGAACTACTTTAAATCCAGTTTTATATACAAACGGCAGAATAAACTGTTGTCATATGATTCATGGGAGAGGAAAGATGAAAAAGTTCTGGTACACAAATCTGCTGTCAGTTGTTTTTTTTTTGGACATTTTCACTAATCTTTGATTTTTGGAGAGACACAGGAGCGTTAAAACATTTCTTTTGAGAAGTTTAGAGGGAAGAATCACTATTTGGTGGAGCTGTTAACATTTAAAAGGAATCTGTAGTGCGACCTTTTGGGAAAAGCAAAAGAAGTTAGAAACCATTTCATTTTAGTTTTATTTTAAAGGCTCATCATACAATCCATTGTGTAAAATGATCCTATAGGTGGCCAAAGCTAATGTCGGCAAAATTTAGTACAGTACAAAGTCAAGTAGTGGATGTTTAAAATAAAGTACAAGTACCTCATGATTTTCCTGAACTATAGTACTTGAAGAATTGTAGATATAAGGTTTTTTTTTTTTTAATCAGACAATGAGTTTTTTTGTTTTTTGACACGTCACCACAGACGTCAGATGAGGAAGACAGTTGAGACATTCAGGGTAAAAACAGCTCCTACCAAACAGAAAAGAAAAAACTCATTGTCTGATTAAAAAACAGAAACCTTATACCTATAATTAGAGGAGACAAAATGAACCTAATCACACTACTTGAGGAGATGTGCTCGTTACTTTCCACCAATAGCGATGTGGCAATCAAACAGAGCCATGGTCAGTCATGCATAAAAGTCTTGTGCCTGAAGGTCTGCGTTCATTGTTGAAAATCAAACATAGGTTCATACTTTTCTTACAACTGTGATGAAAACAAGTGAACACATGATGACAGAGTTCATCCCTTTGTCACGTGTCTTTTTCCCACTTTATCCGGTAAGAAATGCAGTTTTATCAAACATCCAGATGGTGCTTTTATTTGTACTGTATAAATAATGTGTTCAGAGAAAGCTCAATAACTGACCCTGTATTAAAGTCAGTGTTCAGTGTGTGGTTATACTTACTGCCTTCATATTATGTGGGTGTTTTAAATTAAGTCTCAGGATGCTTGCTCCTGTTATTCTCACCCAGTGCTCACCTGAGCAGACGTTCCAGTTTAAATGAATCTGAGCCTCTCTCCTGTATTAGAAGCGAGGGAAGCCATCTGACTGAAGCCTCAGCTGCCAGCTTTACTGCAGCATCGTCTGGGTTTGTGTTTTCACCTCATCATAAATTTCTCTAATAAAACTCAGTCTTTAGCTGTTGCATCGCTCATCGTCCGTTTCACGGCGTCCCATTTCCTGAACAGCTTCCCCCGACCGTTATATGAAGTGTGAGCATTACGGCGCCCATTTAAATGCATTGCAGGAGTAAATAAGTCATACTTTTTCTTCTATTCTGCCTAGCGACGAATTCAATGTCCCGTGCTGTTTTATGTAGCTCCGAATGAATTATGGTACCAATCTGAGTGCTGCCATCCATTGTAAATGCGGCATGTGGGATTTTTTTAGTGTGAGCCAGCGTGGAAGTGCTAATGACTGCTGATCTGCAGTGATTATGAGCCAAATGTCTTCAGCCATGTGTCCCCCTCAGAGACCTCGTTCATGAGAGAGCAGCTTGTGAGAAAGAATCTGAGCAGTAATCTGTAAAATAATCTGTACTATGATTGTAATTGTTAAACCTGATTTTCAGTTCTCTCTTATTTGATTCATCTGAGGCGTGTACATTTCTCCATCACAACATAAACTTCTGTTGCACCTCAGATTAATGATTAGACACAGATTTATTTTTACACCCACACTACTTGACTTTACAGTAAATCTTTTTTCAGTCATGAAGTGGCATCAGCTGTGGGAAAATCCCGTTTACAACCTACTTAGATTTCATGAGACCTCATCACAGTCAGCATATCTGCACGTTATCTTGATTTATCGCTGAACAAAGCATCGGTAAGTTCTCGTATTTTTACCCACCGGCCGGCCTGAACGCGCTTGTCATTGTGCTGGAGAACTCCGTGCAACAATTCAGAATGAGTAAGCCAGGAGGCTGGTTTCTCTCCTGTAAGGACGTCCAGCAGCACCAAAATATCTCTGCAATGCCAGGATGGCGACATGCTTTTGGAAGTGTGTTAAGAATAGACCCACAATGGGGCTCGCTCCCGTCTTCTGTTGTCTGAGATCAGACGGTTGTCTGCAGGGGACAGAGGAAGAGGTAAGACGGAGTGTTTACGTGGTTTACTTCATTCAGTCCTTCAGAGACTTGGGTCATTCAACTAGATCAGACTGGAGATAACCTAAAGGGATCGACTACGAGCTCCGTCTACGCGAGAACCGGAGTGTTTGCCTGCCGTCCACCTGGAGGTTGTTGTGCTGCTGGAGGCCACTGTGAGCCCTGACAGAAAGGGTAAAGGTGGAAAGAGGAAAAGATGAGAAGCGAATGGAGGTGTTGGCTTAAGGGTTTTTTTGCCCTGTGAACTGGAGGACTGGAAGGTTCTGGAAGCGGGCCTTGAGCACGGCAAGTATGGCAGCATCTAGTGCCTCGGAGGTCCTCTTTATCTCTGTCAATCACAGCATCACTTTGATGGGTGAGTCACTTCATTAACTGTAAGTACATAAAAAATAAGTTCTATGTGAAATATGTTGGCTTTTCTATGTCGCTGAGAATCCTGTTAAATCTCAGTTGTTTTTCTAAGGCTTAAGTCCCTCAGTATCTGCTACATTTCCAACATCCTCACCCTAAATCAGGAGTCATTGTCAAACCAGCACAAATTAAATTCTATTGTTTTTTTTTTGCAGGCAAGGTGTGGCTCATTGTGATGATCTTCCTCCGTATCCTGATCCTCCTCTTTGCCGGCTATCCTCTCTACCAGGACGAGCAGGAGAGGTTTGTGTGTAACACCATCCAGCCGGGCTGTGCCAACGTCTGCTACGATCTGTTTTCCCCCGTGTCTCTCTTCCGCTTCTGGCTGGTGCAGCTCGTCACCTTGTGCCTCCCCTACGTCATCTTTGTCATCTACGTTATCCATAAGGTGTCAAACACGCTGACAGTTGACCCGAACACCTCAGGACACACCAAAACCTTTCAGCTGTACAAGCTCCATCAGGAGTCGCTCAACAAGCTGCCCGTGAACCAGACGCCGCTGGTGGCGGAGCAGCCGGGATGGGCTCGGTGCTTCACCGGAGCCTACATTCTCCATCTGATGTTCAGGACGCTGCTGGAGGCAGGCTTCGGGGCAGCTCACTACTATCTGTTTGGTTTCTACATCCCTAGAAGATTCCTGTGCCAGAATCCTCCCTGCACCACCCAGGTGGACTGCTACATCTCCAGGCCCACCGAGAAGACTGTGATGCTCAACTTCATGCTCGGCGTGGCTGCTCTGTCCTTGTTCCTAAACGTGCTGGATTTCATCTGCGCCATCAAGCGCTCAGTGAGGCAGAAGAAAAAGAGAAAGTTGATGGTGGAGAAGATCTTTGAGGAAGAGCACTGTTTTCTTTCTACTGGACGAGCCTCCAGGGCGAACGACCCAAACTCCTCCCTGGCTCAGCAGGATCTAGAGGTTCAATCTAGTCAAGCAGGGAGTTTCAGGAAGAGGCGAGCCAGCAAGGGCTCTTGTGCAGGAGGAACTCTGGACTCAGGTCAGGAGCCTCCGTCCCTGGAGCGCTGCTCTCCGCCTCGCCCTCTGGGATCTCCAGCCGGCAACACCAACGGGAACAATGGCTACTCCATTTCCCAAGAGGAGCTTCCAGACAGGGACGGCAGCGAGGTGGCTCTCTGTCCTCAGGAACCCATGGGGACACCCAGGTCCATTCGTGTTAGCAAACGCAGCCGACTCAAACCTCCACCTCCACCCAGACGGGACCTTGGGTTGCCCTCTGGGGCGTCAGCAGCCCCGGTCGGGAACGCTTCCACAGCAACAGCGATCTGCAGCAGGAGGATGGGTCAGTATGTGCTGGTGGAGTTGGGCAGCCGCACAGAGCTACAGAGCAATGATGACGGGCAGGATAAACGATCAGAGTGGGTGTGACTGAGAGGGCTGCGTTGCTTAATTACTTTGCAACGTAAGAATGGGGCAAATACGGGAGCAACATGCTGCTGGGCTGATAATATGCCTTCTACCTCATGCTACACTGCAGGCTGCTCTGTCTCCTTGAGGATAATCCAGAATGGCAAAGCAATCAGCAGACACCTTAGACTCATGAAGCATAATCCTATTTGCTGTGATTTTTTTTTTTTTTATCATGCCATCGGACTCCATCAACTTTGAGGAGCAGTTGCCCAGCGATGCAAAGTGACAAGATTTCAACATAGCCTCTGAGCACAACAAGTCAGGAGTGACAAGCCTTAAGTGTCCTTGAGCAAACCTCAACCTTGACAAACATCTAAAAGAGTGCAGTCCACCTGTTTGTTCCTGTGTTGGTTTTACCTCCCCCAGCACACTGTCCATAAACAAAGGCAGGCCTTGACCTGTGCTAATTACACAAACTGCCCACCCCCACCACATCGACATGACACCAGCACGGGGCGCTTCCCTTTGTGTGTGGGTCACTGGGGTCAGAGTGGGCAGCCTTTGGGCCCTGTGCTCCAGTGTTTATGTGACCTTTTGAAATGAGAGGGTCGGTCCAAAATGAAAGGCAGTAATCTCGCTAAAGGTGCTGATACCAGGCTCATCCAGTGGAATTGGATTCCTCCTAAGAAGTGAAGGACACTGTGAAGGCCCCTAAAGCCGACATAGGATCACAAAGCAATTATGCTCCCCCATAGGGGCTCTGTATTTATGGAGACAGCTTGTCACTCTATTTCAGGGCCTCGTGGAGCTTAGGAGGAATACAAACCTTAACATACACCGACACTAGAAATAGAGCGCAGCAGCAGCAGCACTCTGCAAAGTGTTGCCTGATGCCCTTCAGGATGTCTGCACCCTGAGCTTTGATCAAGGTGAAACCAGAGCCACAGCAAAGCAGATTAATGTGGGCCAGACGTTAGCCAATCACTCTGACTCATGCCAGTCATACATTGTTCATTTGCGTCCATTATAAGCTGTGAGCCTTGTTTCTAACAACCTGTGGACTAACTCTGAGAGAAGCTCCCGCAGTAAATCAGTTCCATCCCTCTGGTGTCTGTCGCCCTATAGCTGAGAGGCTGGTCTCTGTGTAAAGGGATAGCTCTTGATCTCATCCTCTTGTGGTCTTTTTGAAGATGACACCAAAAGCTCCCGGCCTTATATCTCACCTAGCGACAGAGCGCTGCACCCTGACCGTGGTACGGGTGGCCACGGGGGGTTTTCATCAGAGCAAAGCAGGGATGATATACGTTTCTAACTACTGTTACCAAAGCAGCTCTCAATTACACTTGTGTTGTCTGGATCGAGTGGCTTTTAATCTAAAATGAAGGAAAATACATTTTTTAACTTGTATTGTTAAGTGCTATTGTTGTTGATTGTTGAATGATCTGTGTCGTGTACTCTGAATTCCATTTGAATAATCTTCTGAATGAATTAATGTGCAATTTCATACACTGTTATATGTGAAGCTGATTTCTTTTTAAAGTGAAAATACATCGTTCTTGTTTGATCTCTTACATATTTGTGTTTCATTCATTCACTCTTTCTACAGTTGTGACTGTTTCTAGACACTATACTAGTAAATATAACACTAAAGATGTTGGAACATTACACAATACTTTCTGTTCTTGCTCGCTTTGGTCCACTGTGCTGTCGCCGTCACTGACCCAGTACTGTAGTGTGAACTCATGCTGCCCCCCAGTGACACAAGATGTGAAATGCTGCCGTCCTCAGATTTATTCATACCCTCCCATTAAAGAAGGAAAAAACAGCCGTCACTGGAATAAGTAGAAACTGACAAAAGTGATAATAAATTTAAAATAATAATGAAAATCATGACATTGCTTTTGAATTGTGGTTCAACAGAAGTATTAAAAACAACAACAACAAACAAGTATACATAATATTTAGTTGAACAACCCTTTGAGCCACTCACTGCAGTCAAAGTGTTTTCTGTAACTCTCAGTCAGACTTCTGCACCTGTTGACAGGTGTTTGGATTAGAAGTGCTCTAATTTGACAATTTTTTAAAAATTATTCTTTTCAACCACAATTCAAAAGCAACGTCTTATTTCACTAAATTATAATTTAGCAAATTTTTATTTATTATTACTTTATTCACCTTCTAGTTATTTGAGTGTGAATTTTGCCTTTTCTTTAATGGAAGGGTGTGAAAACATTGGAGGACGACTGTATTGAATCTGCTGCTGGGATGATGGACGTTGACGTGTTATATGTTTGTTTCTGGATTCCTCAATGTCTCTGAAGTGGCTTTGACAGGAGAAGTCTCTTTACTTGATCTACTGAATGCACAGTTTGCTCATTTCATGTCATTATCACTGATACTAAAGTTCATTGATGGTTATAAGCCACGACAATTTTTTTGGGTAGGGGCAGTTCTTTCTCGCAAGACAGAGTCACAGACAGGGTAGGATTAACTTGTCAGGGGGCCCCCTTGGCAAAAATGAGCTGTCTTCCCCAATCAAATCCCCGTGGTGTCCTCCTGCTTCGTCTTCAGTCACTGTTACCCTCTTCAGTCACAAACTTAAATCTTTGTCTAACCTTAAACAGAGTCCCCAAACCTGACCACAATCCTGCTTCAGCTGCAATCGGTGTGTGTTATTGTCCTGGAAGTGCAAAACATTGGAGGAAAAACAGTCTGCAGTCTCGTCCAGGCAGGCAACTTGAGCTACCCCTCCTGACATGCTTCACGTTATCTTCCAAACGTACAATCTCACTGTGTATTCAGGCTGCCGAAATTTCACAGCTCTCCCTTTGATATGTCAGCGCTGGCGCTTCCCTGCGTTGCTGCCTGCTGCTTCAGCCACTTCACCACCCAGCATCCACCTGTAGGCTCCGAGAGGAAGGAGCTGTTTTCTCCCCATCACCCTCCAGTACTACGATGTGATATGATATGATATGTAAACATACCCGTGGAGTGATGAGCTCCGAGCCTAGAGGCCAGACTTTAAGTGCGTTTTTGTTGCTTTGATAAAATATTCAGAACGTCAGTGGTCTGAATATGAGGACAAATACTTTGATTGAACAATTGTGTTAATAAATGTAATTTAAGCAGCTTTACAATTCTTTTAAGTCACATTTTCTGTTGCAAATTAACAGTATATTCATGTAATTTAAAGTAGACAGGATTGAACAATTTAATTAAACCACTATGATCTATATGAGTCCTGTTCTGGCTCTATGTATGTGTTATCAGTCTGTGTCCTTAGTGTGAGGATGCACATTTTTGCACAGTAACAGTGAACATGTCTACGGCTCCTGTCCTTGTGCACGCTGCTGCAGGTAAAAATGAATGCAGAGAAACAGAACGTACATGTCGTCACACAGGATGTGTCCCAAACTGCTGCTTTATAACTAACTAAAAAATAAAGCTTCAAGAAGGACAAGCAGAACAAAGGGGCTTCACACTGTCTGTGCAATCAGCTGAAATGAAAACCTTCCAGCTGTGTTGTCCTTTCACACATGTGCTGCTCGTTTACATTTAGAACAGCCAGAAGAACCAGAAGAACCAGGGCTCAGTGTGGACCAGTGCTTTCAAAGCCTCTTTAAATCTGCCCTGTCCATCCTGTTATGTGTGTGTCTTTTATTCTACATTGGATCTTTGTTATCTTCTTCGATCTGCATCTCTAACATCAGAGACCCAGGATCTTCCCTCCAGGACGTCCTCCACTGCCAGTAAAGACCTTCAGCCTGGACATGCACGGTAAAAAAAATTTATTTAAAATCTATTTTAACAATCCACTGTCGTTTTAAAGATTTTCCCTGTTTTGTGACATGATAGATAATAACTAGTGAAATCACACAAAAAAAAAAAAAAAAAACAGGCTAGTGTTTGAAATAAAAATTATGTATATTATAAATTGAAAAATGCAACTTTTATTTTACAGTATTGCCCTTTTTTTTGGTTAATCACTAAAAAATTACAAAAAAATCAATTTACATGTTGACTCTTAAAAAAAACAAATAAATAAATAAATGCTGGTCAAAACTGTATATAATGTCCACATCAAAAATCTGTATTTTTTTTTATTTTTTACAAATATTATTTATTAATAATTATCAATAATTGTTTTTACTGCATTCAAATCAGTTAAAATTCCATCATTTTACAGATATTTGCTTTTTTAAAATCATTTTTTACATTTTTATAGCATATTGTTTTTCCTGGCATCCTTGATACCAGATTTGTTTTTTGTTTTTTTATTTATTTGCTATGATACTGATTTTTTTCAACAGTGTGGGACTCTTACGTCACCTTTAACTGCTCTGCTAGTGACCATCAGACACACATTCCTAAGCTGGAGCTGTTTATTGCACACAAACCAGCTCAGAGTGGCTCCAGGCTGTGTGGTGTTGCTGAATTAAATCGTGAAGGTTGTGAATTACAGGTGCAGCCCGTCGCTTCAGGGCCTGAGCAACACTGGCCGACTGTAAAAGCTCCTGATTGATTGTGATGAAATTGTTTGGGGCTTAATGGGAACAACAAATTATTCTTGAGAGCAAGAGTTGGTCAACATGTGGCTCCATAACAGATATACTGCAGTAGTGGTGTAAATATTTCACCATGAAATATTTACCAGGTTCGACAGGTTAATGTTATATATTGTAGTTTAATATTAAAGCCCTACTTGTTGCTCCTTTGCAGTTATTCATCACAGCTTGAGGAGCCTGTCTCTTCGCTGAAGAACTGCTGTGACAATGTCTCTTTATTAGACCCAGTATCAATGAGGTCTGGGCCGTGAAAGAATCTATGATGACAAACTTTTTGCTGCACAAACCCAAGAAACATCCGCACAGAAAGTACACGTCAGCATTCAGCGTCCCGTAAATGTCACGTGTGGCTGCAGTTCGGCACAGATTTGTCTTGGCTTTAAAAAACTCTGCCAAAGCACCACAAACCCTTGTCCGTACCCATTACAGGAATGGCTTTGGCAGATGGCGGAG